CTCAGCCTTCCATCCTTCCGAGGTGGGGAAAATGAGGACCCAGATTGTTGGGGGCAATATGCTGACTCTCTGTAAACCGCTTAGAGAGGGCTGAAAGCCCTATGAAGCGGTATATAAGTCTACTGAAAAAAAGAAAAAAAAGGCAGCACGACCAAAATTATATAATTGCTGTCTTGGCGACACAACTTTAGTCAATAACTTGCAATTTTTAAAACTGTCAAAAGGCTTTATTACTCACACTTGAAGGTTGGAACCTTATTGTGTTAATGCACAATAAGAAAAAGCATTTAGAGTAGAGCTGAAGTACTTTATAACTGACCTCTTAAAACCTGGTGTTTACAACTTCTGTTAATAAATTCGATGCTAGATTATGTAAACAAGGCACATTTTAAACTTTTGTTTTTGTTCTGTGTTGTTTTAAACTTTTACAAAAATAACTTATAGTATGCTTTTGCATTAGTTTACTGCTACTCCTCTCCATGCCTATTAAGTCAGACTGCAGACTTTTTCTCATTATCTAATATCTCAGACACTCAGAATCATCCTTTATAATATATATAAATGCACTGAATTGAGTGTAATGTTTTGCAATATACAGTATATATATTGTTAATATATATATATTAACTGAGTTCCTTGACAAAACAATCAAGTGTAAAAGATCCTTCCTCAACAGGAAGAAATCTGGTTTTAAATTTCAAATTGAAACTATGCTAACCTGATTAAATTGTTTCTTTTCCTGCATGTTTTAATTTTATGAAATTGCAAAATGAAGCTCACAGAATCTGAAGTACAAAATAAAAACTGATCAATGTTCCTAAAGAATAAGTCTGTTTCACACGTGTGTGCACTTTGTCATATGAGAAATTATCAGAAAAACAATCAAATTTTGTGTCATGATGGCTACCAATCTGTATACATAAAGCAATATAATTAAGTACCTTAATATTTTTCACATTACACTCTAAGTACTATTTAAGAATGCACTAAGTTGCTAACTGAATTACACTAATCTCTTGACCTTGGTGTATGCAAATCTTTGTCCAGCACTGTGTTGTGAAAGCACTATCTGCCTATCTATTATATCACCAGCAATATTATACAATATTTCCCCTTCCACACCCACATTTCCTTATGTAATCAGCACCAGTAGGTGAATTATCTAAACGCTTGAGGGAGGCTGCCTATAATCTTCCTTTTCCTAAAATTACTAGGTCACGAGTGATTCATAATCCTCCAAACAGGTATAGGAAAACATTTTTCAAGGCATTTCCTAAAACATATTAGCTTGTCCATCTAAAGATTTCCTTATTTTACAGGGCAACAATTCTGAAGATGTCTTTTGAAATGTGATGGCTGTCTCTAGACAACTACAGCACAAAGTAAACTGTCTCTTAGTTGCTACCTTAAGGATGCACATTCTGAAGAATGTATCTAAGTAAACTTTGCCATCCATCTGTCTGTCTAAGGCAGTGTTTTTCAACCTTTTTTGTGCAAAGGNCCAGAGTTCCTCAGCCAGCTTTGCTGGCTGAGGAACTCTGGGAGTTGAAGTCCACAGGTCTTAAAGTTGCCAAGGTTGGAGACCACTGCTCTAATCTATGGGTTGGATATAGTCAAAGATTTTTTTCTTACAGGGGAGCCTTCGCCCTGCTCCCATGTCATTTTCCATAGCTGATTGGGTTCATTTGATTATCTGATTATATTATTTGATGATCTAACCTGTAAAAAAATTGTGTCAATGCCACAATTCTGTAGGACCCAGAAAATGTTGCCACAAGTGTGAGTTTCAAACTGTTTCAGGCTGCAAGGACCTGTGTATTAAACAAACAAAAATCCTGGAGCCCTGGATGAAGAATTGAGGTAATTCCATGACAGACTACAGGTTTAAAAAAGATTATTTAAATACAGCCATTTTTATCACTAGAACTTTGATCAGGGGCTCTGGGATTCTTTTTCCCCCTTTAATCTGAAGATCCCTGCAGCCTGAAAAAGTTTGAAACCCATACTGGGAAATGTTTTCTGCATCCTCCAGAATGGCAGCAATGATACAGATATTTCCCAAGAAATATGCATTATACTTACTTTAAAAAAACAATTTTAAAAATCCCAAACAAAACAAAACCAGAACTACTTTTGTGCATAATTTATTATTTCTTATGTTGACCTCATAGATACATTATGGAAAAATACAGAAACCTATGCTAAGTTAAGTAATGTCATTTTGGGTTTATACTTACCTCAGGCCAATTTGGCATTTTAGCAGTAACAGCATTCAGTTCATCTAGTGCAGATTTAAATTCTTGAAGACTAGCATAAGATTCAGCTCTGTAAATTCTTAACATTAAATCACCGGGATCTAAAAGAAATATACACATATGTAGGACACAGTTTACTGAACCCAACTGTAAAACTCTGTAATTTAAACAGCATATGTAATATAAACAGAAAGCTAGTATGAAAGCTAGTAATGATTCAGACAGTGAATTCTAGTCCCGCCTTAGGCTTGAAAGCCGGCTGAGTGACTTTAGGCCAATCTCTCAGTCTATGATGTTAGACTTGTGTGACCATCCCTATCACACCCATTGATCTGAAAAGCAGCCTTCCACCTGTGAGGAAAAATAAGAAAAAAAGTAATATAAACTCAGAGAACAGATATTCAGATGGTAATATAATCATGCAGGAAAATGCCTCTATGATTGAAGAAGGTAGATCATAATTTACATAAGATCATATGTAAATATATTTCTTAATATGCTAAAGAGCAAAGAGGGCATAATTCAATGCTTCCTGTCTTTTTTTCAGTAGTACATTTTGTAACTGATAGTTCCATAAAACAGTTACTTACAAATACAAAAAAAGAACAGCCAAAATCAATGCAACTTTTGATTAAAAGTTTACTAATCTTCATTTTAAAGACCATTTGCTATGGCAGGGATGTTTATGCATCTTCAATGTCATGGGAAGTTGTGACATTGTAAAAAAAAACAAAAGGACATAATTTTAAAAGAACCTTCAAGCTCTAATTATAAGCACGAGTTCTTTAAAAAAAAAATTAGCAATTTAAATAAATTTACAAAGAAATTTATTTTGTTTATTTCTCCAAACTGAACCTAGGAATAATCAATTACATCATAGATTAAATATTGTTGTCTTTCTTTTCTAATGTGTTACTAATGGTGAGGGGGAAATGAAATTATATTCATATTCAAACTTTTTTCTGATAAGGTTACATCAAAATCTGCACTCAATGATTCTATATGAAGAAAGCAATGCAAAGGCCAAGGTGGCGCAGTGGTTAAATGCAGCACTGCAGGCTACTGCTAGATCAGCAGTTCAGCGGTTCAAATCTCACTGGCTCAGGGTTGACTCAG